TGTCAATTCGCTTTCAAGTTCTTATTTGTACGCCTTTTACGCTCTAATTGGTCATTTTTATTATGACTGAACGGATATCAACCAATGTGTGTTTTTGTAGAACTGTTCGTTCAGGATTTTCCCGCGAAGAACCAATGGCTTTCAAAGTCACATGATAAAAGTAAGAATGTAAATAAACGTTGAAAAAAGTTATTTTCATCACTTCTACCTGTAATTTCGCTAGGTTTCATGTTATTTGAATGTACTTAAAGTAGAAGATGTCTAATCAGAAGCTTCTAGTCAAAGAATGTATCCAGAAACTTATTATTTCCGGTTTTTGCAGTACTTTCGTAAATACGTAAAAAATAGGTATATAATCGTTCATATAATAAGGTAATAATCGATTATTATAGTCTACTCTTATGATAATGGTGTAAATAACATATACATAGGATTAAATATGCGGTATCGATACTACAAAGTGTATTGACCTAGATTTACAAAACCCACCACCCCCTTCACGCCGATCGGCGTTATAAACTATACGTCGTATTATCTTCCTACATTGGATTAGAAAGCTGCAATTTTTTTTATTTCTGAGAATATAGAGCTATCTGTATAACATATATAACAGAATAATCGGATATTTATAAAAAAAAATTTCTTTTGATTACTTTAAAATCTTCAATTGTATAAATTTTTGTAAATATATAATATTTTAGTCAACAACCATAAATGCTGGTATGTTATTCATAATTTTATAATATTATCATACATATAAATTTATTTCTATAGAACTTATGAACATCTGATTTGCAAGTATCCAGCAGGCTTAGACGGCTGAACTGTAATAAAGTCTAATGACTTTATTACAGTCTAGAGTAATGTAAAATGTTTAGTGTACTGTAAATTGAAAGGTTACAAACTATTGAAAGAAATTTTATTACGTAGAAAATATCAAATATTTATATAAAAAGTATGATGCATATACAAGTAGATATAAAAAAGTTATAAACATCAGTGGCAAATATACAGCATTACACAAAAGTCTTGTAATAAAATTATTATACAAATATACGAGTATATATCTCTATATGCACATGAAAGTATTACAAATTATCGATTTGAATTTTACCTCAGACATTTTCCGATGTGTGATATATTTCAAAACATGGTGCAGGGCATAGTGCAACCTCGCACTGTTTACACCAATATCGCGTTTCTTTTCGAATTTTTTTCATTTTTGCATCATGCTTGCTACAACAGATCGTACAACATCTTGTAGGAGCTGCTTTTTTTTCTGTTGGAGGAATGAAGGCTGGAAAATGCCTTTCTATGAGTCTCAGTGGACCTGGATCTGGTGTTCTCGGTCGACCTCTATATGACGTAGCTTCGGTGTGAAATTCTTTGATGAGCTGTTCAATAAGTTGTACTCTGAATGCTAAATGCTTTTTGTTCCTGCCATTTTTTTTTATAAAGGACAAAAGAATTATAAATGCAAATATCAAATAAATGAAAAAATATTTTCTTATAATATTTTTTCCCTCTTTTCCTTGCCACCGGGTAATCATGAAGCTGTTGATCTAAACGATCAACTCCTCCCATTGTATCGTTGTAATCAAGGACAAACATGTGGCTTTCTTTGAACGGTACCAACACGCGTTGGTTTACTGATAAGTTTGGCATTGTGCACTGTAGATAATAATGTGACGGTTTTCTTGTCTTCCCATTTTAAAATCATAACCTTTCCCCTCTGTTGTGCCAATATTTCTCCTTTTTTTAATTTTTTTCTTTTTATCATATCTGGAATCTCTCTTCTGTTCAGATGGAGTGTTCCATATATATCTGTTTGATGGGATATCAAATAATCGGCTAACTGAGGAGAGGTATAATAATTATCAGTTGTGAGGCAGTGACCCTTGTTCAACAATGGGTCCACTAACGATAATACTATTTGGGAAGTTATTTGCATTTGATCGTATTTAGGATCTAGTAGAGTATCTTTTCCAGTGTAAACTATAAATTTGTGTAAATAGCCTGATGAAGATTCACACAACATAAAAAATTTCACACCGTAGCGTGACCGTTTGAGAGGTATGTATTGTCTCCAGGAGATACGACCTTTGAATAGTAAGAGAGACTCGTCCACCGTTATGTCTCTCTCTGGTTCGTATAAATGCGAAAATTTAGAATTTAGGTCATTTACTATGGGCAAAATTTTGTTCAATTTAGGAGATGGATGGGTGGACGGATCAAATAATGCATTATCCGCGAAGTGCAAATTTTGCTTTATCTCTTCAAATCTATTTTTAGGCATAAGTTTACGAAAAATTGGTGTGTTAAATAAATCTTTGGTGGACCAATACATCCTCTCATTCGGTTTTTTTATAATTCCCTGCAAGATACAGATAGCCAGAAACGTATACATGTCAGCCACTGTAACAGGCTCCCACTGATGCCTGGATGATTGCGGCTGTTGCAGTGCGTAACGATTCGTCTCACTAACAATTACATTCATCAAATTTAAATCAAAAAATAATTTAAAAAAAGCGAGTGGATCGACATTATTGACAGAGAAGCGACAACCCGGATTTCCTGTGAAAGGAAATCGTGGAGGAGGCGGAGGAGGATTGTCTATATCCACTTCGACCCAATTTCTGGCAGTAGCGATGCTTTGGTCCAAATCTGAGCTCGATTCCGAGTCGCTGACGTCGGTCAAATTATATTCCGATCCACTTTCGGAAAAACTATCATCTTCGTATTCAGAACTAGACATTCTGTCAATAAAAGATTGAATCTAAAATCATTCTTTTCTATATTATGTGCGAGAATATTGTCCAGATAAAATATGCTTATAAACTTACTTGGAAAAGAGTAGAAAACACTTTTCACAATGCACAAAGGCAGATATATTGTACTATATCTAAAGGAAGAAAATTTTATCTAATATCAGTTTTTTATTATTATGCGCGAGAAGAATATTCTCCAAATGAAATATGCTTATAAACTTACTTGGAAAAGAGTAGAAAACACTTTTCACGACGCACAAATGTAGAGATATTTTAGTAATGCAAAACCTAAGAAGCTGTAGTGATATCTGACCTTTTGGTCTTCCTCAGTTGCAGTTTTGTCGGTCCGGGTGCAATTCGGCAATAAAGGGTTATAAAAACGTAGACAAAGAATCATAACACCGAGGGAGAAAACGGCGGGGAAAAGGAACGGGGAGAGTGGTTAGGGACACAATAGAGAGAGGAAGACTAAAGTGGAGGTCCCAATAGTAGAATAATAGTTTATTGTTCTTTGTGTAGAAATATTTGACATTTTTTACGTTATAAAATTCATATCAATACTTTGTAATGCTTTTATATATATATTTGTGTAATAATTTTATTACACGACTTCTGTGTATTGCTTGATATTTGAAACTGATGGTCACAACTTCTGTGCACGTATTTTTTATATAAATGTAAATAAAATATCTTATATCGCTGTTTTCTTTTATTATATATTAGTTAGATACATTTGATTATTCATATAACACAAACTTGCAACCAGATATCACACACTGCAGTACACTATAAATAGTTACTTGATCTTGTAAACAGCTGATGGTGGATGTTTGCGGGATGTTTTCCTAACAATAACTGAGGAAAGTTGGTTTCTAGACATGTATATTAGTCATCCACTAAATACTAAAATATATCACGTTATTTTGTAATCATGTTTATATTCGCTTGTACTTTTTGTCTGTTTATATTAGATCTACGAATCAGCCCCCTGTGTAAACAGTGGAGCTCAAATTTCTGCTAAGTGCCATCCTTCTCAGGCTACAATCTTTGAAATATGTAAACAATCGCTATAAAATCGCTTGTTTCTATCATTTTTTAGCTCTAATTAGCTAATTTATTATTCTTAGACAGTATTTAGGTGAGTAAACATTATTTTAGAACTGTGAAGTTATAAATTATTTGGGAAAGTAAACTTTTCCCTTCGCTGTTACATAATCTGAGAAAATATGTAAAGAATCGAATGCGAAGTTATGTAGTATAGTCGATTATTGTAACAATTGTCGAAATAATATAAAAATAATGTTTTTTATACATTATCGCTAAGAAAACTTGTGTTGACTTCGACCCTCACATGACCCCTCCTAGGAGAGTAATTAGAGAAGTAGTGAGAATAATGGCAATAACTTCTCACTCGCTGTAGCTAGAAGGCTGTGGTTTGTTTTGTCTTCAAATAAATGGTGTGTGTGATTAATAAATTTAGCGAAATCTTATAAATAAATAAATTATTTTCTGTTTTGTTCAGAGATTTAAAATTTTATTATAAATTCGTGATAAACAAAATACAAAAGTACGGTAAACTGTAATATGACTTTGCTAGAAAACAAAAAACAGAGTGAATGTAGCGCGAATTTGAAAGGAGATACCACATTTGAAAAAATACTTGCATCTGTAAANAATATTATTAAAATTTTATAAACTTTAATATAGTATTTAATAAAATTTTTTATATTTTAATTATCTAATAGTATTTCCTACCAATTCTAGCGGATGCTTATCTTTTATATGCTTTTTTAATGAATTTAGATGTCTATATGCACATGGGCACAATTTGCATTTGAATGTGTTTACTTCTGAATGGCAATACATGTGAACATCAAATTTTGATTTGTATTGAAATTTTTTTCCACAAACTTCGCACGTAAATTTATATAAGTTATTTGATTCCTATTAAATAAGTAAGAATATAATACAGTAAAAGTCAATTAATCCACCACTTGATAATCCCGAATGCTGGATAATCAAGTGCTGGATGCCTGTGACTGTACCGATATTTGTGTGTTGTTCTGAATTTTGAATATAAAATTATTCTGAATAGAAAATTAATAATTAATAAGTATGCAACGTTCACCAATAAAACGTGGTAGACCGCCAACTAATAGAAGCAAACCGGAAAGCAAAAAGACGCAACCAGTTTGGCCTAATGATCTGTTCACCTTAATATAATCGATAAGTGCCGCCGTAACTTATCAATTGCAATTTCAGGACACGCTTCCTGTTACATAAGAGTTGACCGTTACGATTTGAAATGGACCGTTCCCATTCGTAACGAAATCGGGACGAGGAAGTTGGTCATGAGGGCATTAAAGCGGCGTGATGTAACGGTTTTAGTCGATAAAACTAATCGAGGATCACTTATTTATCCTTGCTTATATAGCATTTTATTTTAAAGTTATAAAACTTTATTTTAAAGTTACGGTAATAATTTAGGAAAAATTACAATTATATCTTTTATTTCAATCAGTTTTCTTTCTTTCAATGCCTGTTTATATTTATTTTATTGTAATTTTATTCAAAAAACAAAGAAATAAACATATCAATGTGCTAACCGAGGGGGCTGAAGTGGAGAGCTTCTCCCCACTTATCGGCTTGGCTGTCAGGAAATGGCTATAGGAGGGCTAAAAATATGAATGGGGAGGAGTCGGAAATCGTGAGCAGGTGTCCAATTGATTACACAGGTTTAAAATAGACAACACATTTAATAAACAGATCAGAAATTATACATAAAGATAATAAATATAACACTCGCGTATCAAGATATAAATAGGTATTCTAAAATCAACCTAACGCTAAAATTCGAAAGAGAGCTCACATTAGAGAGAGATAAATAATAATGGCAAGGGTTTACCTCATAGGAAACATTCTCATATTATAGGGCGTTGATAAAACACTCTGTGATCATCGTCTTCTACTCCGAGGTGTCCCTTGAAGGCTATGTGGAGCGATGTCTTCTCAGGTCGTGCGGCTATGTCCGGTTACAGTGTATGCTCCGTCGCTCCCAATCTGTAGAGTTCTTCCTTGGGCGAAGTTCTTCGGAGGTTTTTTTGGATAACCTCTCCGAGGAGTAATTCCGTCGTATATGGAGAGAATAGAAAATATTCAGTTTTTTTCCTTTTCATGGAGCGGGGATTATGAGCTTCTTAGATCCTGAGAAAGCTGGAAGATCCTGCGTCGATGTTTCTTCCCCAACGATCGCTCTTGAGGTGTCAGATCGTTCCCCTTATATACCCTTTAGCGTGGGAAAAACCTGGGAATTTGTTGACGTCTTTTGACAACTCTCCCTGATTTATTATCGTTTCCCGCAACTTATCTCCTTATATAGTCATTCTTTTTGTCCGGTCGCTCGGACATACGTATGGGGGTCACGTGACATCGTGAATGGTTTTAGTTTCAATGTAGAGAAGACCTCATGCATTCACTTTTGTCGAAGGCGTGGTTTCCATCTGGATCCCGAAATTTATTTAAATGGGGTTAAAATCCCAATTGTGAATGAGGCTAAATTTTTGGGCATTTTGTTTGACCATAAACTGACATTTTCGCCACATTTGTGCAATTTGAAGAGTAGATGTTTAAAAGCGCTAAACCTTTTAAAGGTCCTATGTGCTCATCCTGAGGAGCAGACAAATGTTCTATGCTCAGGATTTATAGGGCCCTTGTCTGCTCCAAGCTGGATTACGGGTGCATTGTTTATGGCTCTGCGCGAAAATCTACTCTTCGAATGCTGGATCCAATCCATCATCAAGCTCTGCGTTTGTGCACTGGTGCCTTTCGCACCTCTCCTGTACAAAGTCTGTACGTGGATGCTTATGAGCCTCCACTATCACTCAGGAGAGAACAGTTGTCTCTCTTTTATTATATTAAGCAGAAATCCCAAACTAAACCTTTAGTTGTTTGTACTGTATCAGATACCCAACTGACAACATTATTTGTAGCTCGCCCAAGCTGTGTCCCTACATACAACATAAGAATGGAGAATGTAAGCAGCACGATCGACCTGAAAATGGGCAATATTTCACAGCTCGAGGTTGCTAGTATACCACCCTGGTCAATTCCTTTAATAAATATTGACTTTAGCTTAAAGCAGTTTCCTAAGGAATCCACTCCAGACTATATCTGCATACAGCACTTTGCAGAAGTTCAACACGAAAACAATAATTTAATTCCTATTTATACTGACGGTTCTAAATCGGATGATTATGTTGGCTCAGCCTTTGTTTGCCAGGATGAAATAGTGGCAGAACAAATTGAATCAAATTCTTCCATATTTACTGCAGAGCTGCAGGCTATTCATTTAGCCTTAAAGTTTGTAATCAGAAAAGGTCATCGTCACTGCGTGATTTACACTGACTCAGTTAGTGCACTTCAGGCTTTGATCTCATATGAACGTAGTTCTCACTCCATAGTGATTAAAATCCATAAACTTTTTTGCCATCTATGTGCGAGTAATATTTTTGTAAAATTTTGTTGGGTCCCAGGTCATGTAGGTATAAGAGGAAATGAAGAAGCTGATGCAGCTGCAAAGTCAGCAAGCCTTCCTCAGCATACAATGTTTATCGAAGGAGGTGATTTGAAGCTAGTTGTTAAAAAGCGACTAGTGGAGAGATGGCAAAATATGTGGAATGCACAAATCCACAATAAACTGCATGAGATCAAACCTACGATAGAAAATTGGACACACAAGAAATTCTATGACAGGAGATCTGAGGTTGTTTTTAGTTGTCTGAGGATTGGACATACTCGGTTGACTCATCAATACCTTTTGAAGGGTGAGGAGCAGCCAGTATGCCAGTATTGCAACTGTCCTCTTACTATAAAATACATACTGCTCGACTGCTCTGCCTTTGAGATCAGGCGTAGAGAGCATTTTGGAAATGCAAGTTTCAAAGAGATTCTGGACCAGAGATCAAATTGTTATAATGTATTGGATTTTTTCCCCTCGATGTGGGTTCCTGTCCGTGGCGAGGGGACCTCCCAGAGATGGTTTAGTAACTTTTTTTTACCATTCCTGGGATCTGAACACACACCCACATGTTTGCCGTGCGTGGTGTCCCGTATGCCGGAAAGGGGGATCCTGGTAGTTGAGGGGCAACATAACGTCCCCAACACACTGCTTTGGCCCCTGCTTCGGATAAACGGGAGGCTCAAATCAGGCTTAGTTTGAGTGAATTGGCTGGTCGTTGAGTCATCGGCTTGACCTCGGCTTGGAGTCAACCGATCGATGCAGGCCGGGCAGACATGTCAGACAAGATGTGCTCTTCTTGACTGCATTGTGAGGGTATAGTTCCTGGGAAACCCTGGTGTGATGGTCTACGGGACTCTCCCATGTGACGGCATCCCCTTGTTGGGCCCCACGGTGGGTGGGGTCACTAGGAGCTGAAATATTATTATTTAATCATGGATCATAAATCTTCAAAAAATACAGACAAACCAGAAAACATGAATGAAAACACTGCCAGTCAACCATCCTACTTAATAGTGCATGCTACTGGGGAAAAATCTTTGTCAAAATGTTCTACTTTTTTGATTCAGAAGTTATTCGAATCAACGATTGAGCACCTGAAAAAAACACAAAAATTGAGGTCAGGAGACCTACTTGTAGAAACTGCCTCATTTCAACAGTCGGCAAAACTTTTAGCTGCAAAGAAATTGGGAGACATTGAAGTCACCACATGGAAGTTTGAACTCATCACGTGGTGTGATATCTGAGTTTGATCTGATGTTTGAAGATGAATCAGATATTCAGATGAACCTTTCAGACCAGGGTATCACTGCTGTTCGACGTATTTCCATTCGTCGGGATGGCAAATTAATATCAACCAAACATTTAACCTCTTGACGTACGAGTCATTAAAAAGAATGGCTTCAAATGAAAAAATTGTTTATTATTATTTAAAAGGAAACATCTATTTTATCTGGAAAAAAGTTTCATTCGAATTTTTTCAATTTGTTAAAATTGGTTCCTGAATGGCATCTTTTCCTTTGGATAGCCAACTTTACAGGGGCCCCCTGCGATTCGGCTTCTCTGTACTATTATTAGTTTTGCCGAGAAGCTGCCATTCGTCGGTTAGCGATAAAAGAATTAAAAAAGTTAATTACAAAATATGTAACGAAGGTAATGTAAAAAATGAAATAAAGTTCGTAGCTATCTAAGCTTTGATTTGCTTTCTTGTATTTGTTTAAACCAATAAATGTTTTTTCACCACCCCAGGCCATAAATATTTCGGGAAAGTCCGTCCCTTATTATTGTAAAGTAATTAGCGGCAAGAAGACAGATTATTGGCTGATAAAATCAATGGTAATCTTTTTAGAACTGTAATTGGTTTATTTCTATATTTGTTGAGATATTATTTCGGTGAATCACCAACCTTTGTAAACACAAACTAAAATTGCGGCTAAATGCCATGCTTATGGAGCTACGATTGTGTAAATATGTAAACAGTCGCTATAAAATGGTTAGTTTTGTTTGATTTTTATGTACAATTTGCTAAAAAAAAAGATTTGACAGTATTTAGACGAGTAAAAGTGTTTTCAAAACCGTTTAGCAATAAATATTCCCGGAAAACTCCACCTTACTATAGTATTTGTAAGGAAACTTTTCTTGATGTCAATTCGCTTTCAAGTTCTTATTTGTACGCCTTTTACGCTCTAATTGGTCATTTTTATTATGACTGAACGGATATCAACCAATGTGTGTTTTTGTAGAACTGTTCGTTCAGGATTTTCCCGCGAAGAACCAATGGCTTTCAAAGTCACATGATAAAAGTAAGAATGTAAATAAACGTTGAAAAAAGTTATTTTCATCACTTCTACCTGTAATTTCGCTAGGTTTCATGTTATTTGAATGTACTTAAAGTAGAAGATGTCTAATCAGAAGCTTCTAGTCAAAGAATGTATCCAGAAACTTATTATTTCCGGTTTTTGCAGTACTTTCGTAAATACGTAAAAAATAGGTATATAATCGTTCATATAATAAGGTAATAATCGATTATTATAGTCTACTCTTATGATAATGGTGTAAATAACATATACATAGGATTAAATATGCGGTATCGATACTACAAAGTGTATTGACCTAGATTTACAAAACCCACCACCCCCTTCACGCCGATCGGCGTTATAAACTATACGTCGTATTATCTTCCTACATTGGATTAGAAAGCTGCAATTTTTTTTATTTCTGAGAATATAGAGCTATCTGTATAACATATATAACAGAATAATCGGATATTTATAAAAAAAAATTTCTTTTGATTACTTTAAAATCTTCAATTGTATAAATTTTTGTAAATATATAATATTTTAGTCAACAACCATAAATGCTGGTATGTTATTCATAATTTTATATTATCATACATATAAATTCATTTCTATAGAACTTATGAACATCTGGTTTGCAAGTATCCAGCAGGCTTAGACGGCTGAACTATAATAAAGTCTGACGACTTTATTACAGTCTAGAGCAACGGTTCCCAACCTTTTTCGGGTGGCGACCCCTTTTTATAAAAGCCAAGTGACCCGCGACCCCGATACTATTGAAAAAGACATTTTTAATTAGGTAATTAAAAAAACAACGAAATTAGTTTTTAGTATAATTTTATTTTAAATTATGTCTAATAATTTAATGCGATTGTTGAAATTGTATGTTATTAACCAGCCTTAAAATTCGCGGGTGAGTTTTTGTTAAAGCCAACCTCATGTCATTCTCAACATTTAATTTATTCCTCTCAAACTCTCAACACATGATTCAACCAACTGTGACGGAATAGCGTACCTAGATTACACTCATTTTAATTTTTAAAAAATACAGTCGACCCCCATAACACGGTAGATACGTTCCGTTTTTTATGAAATTGATGTTTTAGGAGACCTTGCCAATCACAGCCCGACACGTGTGAAGTTTACTGACTACGGGTGTTTGAAAGGTTTTCTTCCATAAAATTAGTCGATTCCTAGACTAAGCCGACTCAACATTTTCAAAATACGTATATTTTTTGGGAATAATCCGTATAAACTATGCTATAAACAAAAAAATGTAGAATTACTTACCGAGTGTGCACCGTTCGACGTCGCCATTGCTTAAGCTTGTTTTCGTCGCGGAGCAGCGCACCAAATGGCGGCCGCGTTTTCTGATAAATTATTTTTCTGCGAAAACTTCGTTGAACTTTGGAGACATCATTAATATAAATAATTTTAATCGCCGTTGAATAAGAAATGTTTCTTTCACAAGAAATGTATAAAATTACAGTACTGTATTAGACTTACAGTACCTAATTTACATACGGGACATTCCAATTTTCAACGCTGACTCAGCGCTGATCTCAACATTCGTTAAAATTCGTTCCTTTTTTCAACGTTGAGGTAGCGCTGTTGTCAGCGCTGACTCAACACACTCAGCACTCAACAGATATGTTGACTGCTACTTTCCAATGAATTGTGGGTAATTGGTAAGACATTTGAATGGAATCCATCTTGCTGAGAATGGAATTATGGGAACTAAGCACTTCGTACTCGAGTTGGAACGTCGTTGATGACGTCAAATTGTTGACTTCAACACTCAACACTCGCGTTGAAAATTGGAATGTCCCGA